CCTTACCTCCCTCCCTCCCTCCCTCCCCCTCCCCTGCCCTCCCCTTCCTTCTCGGCTGCAATCAGATTACAAGACCCTAGATGGTTTACAGCAAACTACAGTAAGAGTAAAACATCCAAGGTGAAAACATAAATGTCCTAAAATAAACCAATATTAAGTACAAAATACAAAAATACCTAAACTATTCATTGTACATTGGTGTTGCCTCAGGAACTGAGCGAAGATGTCATGGCTAGGGTCTCCACCTGCCCATTCAGCAGTTGCCATGAGTCCTCAAGGACCTCCAAGTTACAGGTTGGCTTTTTTAAAGGCAGGCAGTGCCACCCCATCAAGAGACAAGACTGGAACCATAAGAGAACCCCAATGGATGAACAGCAACTCTGTCTTGCTTAGGTTCAACTTCAGCCTGTTTCATCCTGTTCAGACATGGACAATCTCCAGACAATAGGTCAAGATGTGACAGCATCTCCTATGTGCTCCAGGCATCCAATGTACAACTGGGCATCATTAGCGTACTATGATACTGTACCCTGAAACAACAGATAACCCCTCCTAGAGGCTGCATATACACATTAGGAGAACCAAGCCCTGTGATACCCCCCAAGGGAGCAAGCACTGAGCTGATCTCTCTGCTCCCAAGCAACTGGAGTTGTCTACTCAGGAAGGAGCAAAGCCACTTAAAACAGTGTCGGCAATCCTGAAGTGTCACAGGCAGTCCAGAAGAGTGCCATGGCAAGTTGTCTCAGGTTCCAGATCAATGTTGGAAAACAGATCTACTGGAGCTTTGTTGTTTGTCCTAACCCCCATATTATTTTGTCATCATTCAGTGTTGGTGAAGATGCTATTACATTTCCAATACTGAAGTAAGATTTAATTATTCCGTGGATCAGCTTCTAATGTGGAATTGAAGGATCCTTATTTTGTATCTAATACAAATGTCTTGGGCAGGTCTGATAAAACAGAATAAGCTGAGAAGTCCTGGGGTGCTCATCTCTCCTCTCAGCAATAAGGGGGAAATGGAACAGGCCTACCTAAGGATTACTGCAGATAAATATGTGAAAATATTTAGTCTGTGCGATCTAAATTTATAACATTTATGACACAGGATGACATTTGTCATTTCCGCAAATATTGCAATTTAACTTCCTAATTTTTAAAAAAAAAAATCACTTGCAGACCTCACACAGAGCTCAACGTTCTGGCTGCAAACCACCTGGAGAATCTTGACCTCTGATGGGACTTAATTGATCCCAGCCATGCACTGGAGCAGTGGCGAAGTGGCGAAGTGCTAACGTGATAAGGCCATGCTTTTTCACCTTCTCTCACTTCAACCAAATGTTACCAGGGAGATAAGGTCTGTGGCATCTGCATATGATTTCCCTGTAACATGCAGTTTGGGCCTCCTGCTTCTAAAGTTCACAGCCCATTATTCATGCCGTTTGTTGGCCCGAGGAGCTGCTGCTGATTGATGGGAGATACTTTGACCTCCTGCCCCAGCAGAGGAGAATACTGCAGGCTCCACCCTGTTGTGTAAGGAAGGGAAACTGCTCAAATGGAGAACCTCAGTACAGACCTTTCTTTCAGGGGGTGGCATTTCCCCTTTGCTTATGCTTTCTAAGCAGAGCTGGGCGTTTGGAGAGGAGAAGGGTAGGTCCTTTTGGACAGATGGAGAGGCAGTCAGGATTCTAAGATGGTGACCACGTATCATGTGGCTGCCCTAGGGAAGATCTTCTGAGAACAGGGACTGGCTAAAAGTGCTCTAAATGGGATTGAGCTGGCCTGGGAGGTACTTGCACCAGATTTGCACTACATTATATCTATATTCTAGATTACAATGAGAGGTAAAAAACTGTTAATCTAAGATCTTCTATTATATTGTTGCCGTTGTTATTTAGATTTGTATGCTGCTGAATCTTTCCAGGCGGTGCTGTTCCAAAGTGCCGATGGCGTGACTGGAAAACAATATTTTCTTGACTCAAACCCTCATCTCGTAAAACCGGGGCACCCCCTCCCCCCAGTTCCTCTTGGGAGAATTGGCTCAGATGGGTTGTCTCTGGTTGGAGTAGGTGATCCTGTAGACATCTTCCTTTTTCATCCAGGACGTTTTGCTGCCTGATTAGGACAAGATAGGAGGGCTCTGCAGCTGTTTGGATATGAAGGGGAAAAGGGGTTTCAGAGTGCCCGGGGGCACTTGTGTCGCACCTGTCAGCAACTCTTTAAAGCAGCTGCATCTTTTCTCCAGATTGCACAGCTGGCTTTTGCAGCTGCAGGGCAATCTTGGGAAAAGACAGATTTGGTTTAAGGAATTGTTGGCAGGTGCCAACGGCACACCCACACACACCCCAAAGCTCTTTCTGCTTTTGAATCTCAAGTGCTGCATAGTCCCACAAGTTGGTACGTATGAAGGTATGGAAGCTGGCTAGTCACTGAATCCAATTTTAGACAGTGATTGACAGCTCTTTGCTCATCACTGCATCTTTGGGTAGGAAGGTTGCTTCAGGTGTCTAAGGGTGCTGCATGACACAACCGGCTCATCCTGGCAGGGCTGCTGCAGCTCCCGATGTTAAACTCAGTGCCTGTGATCAGCTTTATGTCTTCCAAACTAGTCAGTTGCCTTTTAGGTTCTGTATTTTTTTATCAGCCTAGTTACCTAAGCTTTTTAGTCTTCATTTTGTGGCATGTATGATGTTTACATAGCCTTCATCATCTTCACATTCAATATGCTCTTGTTTTTTACCGTTCTTTGGTTTTTATAATGTTTGGTTATGTGTTAATAGCTGAGGTTGTTCTTAGTGAATTGTAAATTTTGTTATACACTGTTTTCGTCCCATCATACTGTCTGTCTGTCTGTCTGTCTGTCCATCGGTCCGTCCATCCTTAATATTGTTTGGGAGTGATGTATGGTGATGTAATGTCATACATACTTCATTGTTACGGGGAGGGAAGAGATGAGGTGCTCCTTTCAGTAGCAAACATATACAATAATCCCCATGATGTCTAATTGGGTTTACCTTTTAAGCTAGTGCGTCACTGACTCTCGTGACTCTAACCATAGATTACAGATTCATTTAGGTTTGTTGTAGGAGATCCATAGTTCAGAGCAGAGGATGTGCCTTACACAACCAAAGTCCCAGATTCAGTTCTTCCCAGTTTGGGTGAAAAGAACAGGCAGCGGTTTCTGCCAAGGCTCCTGCAGTGGGAGAGGAAATGCTGGATATTCTTGGGCATTCCTTGAGGTGATTTCTTGTCTGGAATTGCTGAATGCCTTTACTTTAATTCTTTACTTTTCTCATGGCTGGGATTCAGGTACACAAATCTAAAAATTACTGGTTTGAGTCTCAGTTCAGCAAGAGCACACTAAGTCAAGGTAGATCCAGCTGAAGGTGGGATTTACAGCTAAATCTCTAGGGTGTTTCCAGGTTAGACTTTTATTATATAATTGCTTATTTACAGAATTTTAGGGAGAAGGAGGAGCCCAACATTGTTTTCCATTTGCAGTTGGCTTACATTTTCCCACCACCTTTGACTGTCCATATTAAAAATAAAGATTAATGGAGTAACAAACAGACAGGCAGCACATTTATGGTGTCTTCTGACACCAGGGAGCACTGTGTCCAGAAAGGTGGAACCTCCCTGGGGAGAACCTTCTATGGAAGGAGATGCACACCAGCAAAGACCCTTTTCTTAGTTATCCCTGCCTAAAAGGGTGCCCAGGGAGGAACTGAGAAGTTGACTTTTAACATAGGCAGGTTCATGTAAAAATAAAGGCCCCCAAGAGATACAGCTCTCCAAACTGTCCAGCAGTTGACCAGCAGCTAATCAAAGCCGTGAGAAGAATACTTTCCCGATCATTAAGGATACTGTGCAGCCTTAGCCAACCGGCTGCAGATGTGCTGGCTCAAAACTCCCATAACCTCGAACTGGCACAGTCAATGCATCTGAAAATGCCAGGTTGTAGAAGGGTGATATTGCACTTGATTTGGGCTTACTGAAGTTCCCAAATAGCTGTTGAAGACAGCCAGGCATGCAGCACATTAGTCCAATTTGGATTACACAAAGCCTAAAAAACATCAGTCAGTATTCCCTCTCCCCCCTTCCATCATATGAGCGTTTTGAAAATAATGTCTGTCTAATTGCTGCCATTCAGCCTCCTCCTGAGATAAGCCTTTCCCAGCCTGTTGCCCTCCAGTTGGGTTCAGCCTACATTTTCAAAATTGGAATGATGGGAGTTGAAGTTAAGACAGAAGGGGGACTCTAGATTGGAGGGTCTAGCCTAGATCTTCTTGCTTGAGAGGGGAACCCATGTTTGCCTGGTAATGAATAAGCTTGCCCTTTGCCATGCTTTCAGATTGATTCTCCGAGTCCAGGCCAACTCAATCAGCCCTGTCGATTGTGAGCTTATGAAGTCCAGCTGCCCCTTGTACTGTCTGCTGAAAATAGGAGATTCCTGTCAGGGGGCCTCAGTGCCAACTGCAGGATTTGGGAACAGAAGTACTGGCCAAACATCCTCAGTGGGCCTCTTTAACCTAGACAGCCCTTGTGTGCATTTTGTTATGCAAGTATGCTCGAGAGAGAGAGAGAGAGAGAGAGAGAGAGAGAGAGAGGGGGGGGGAGAGAGCGCGAGCGAGCGCACGCCTTGTAACGGATGTGTTACAAACATGCACGCTGGAACACAACGTGCTCATTTCAACTCTGCTGCTGCTATTAAAGCAATGGTAATGTTGGTCTTTCCCACCTTCCTCTTGTCCAGGAGCTGGAGAATGTAAAGTACTAAATATATATGTACAAAAACAATGCTTTCTTCTCAGAAACACAATGAACCAGAATCAGATGTCCTGCAATTTATTCCCCCCCTTTTAAAAAATGTATTTTTTTTTCATTACTATTAATATAGCCAGCATGATATGCATGGGAGGGCTTGTCTTTGCAAAAACCTTGAAGATGTTTATGCTCAAAAGACACAAACTTTTGTTTCTCTTACTTGCACATGTGAACCTCCACCCCTCCATGATGTCTGTGCAACTGGTGGCCACATTTGTAGTTTCAGAAATGGATGGCAGATTTTGCCCTTCCACCAGCAATGTTCCTACATGCAGTACGTCTTCCTCATAATAAACAGCCATTTATTTTTTATGGGAAAAAAGTGAAAGGTACACAGGGCATCATTTACAGGAGACTAAACTTGCTTCTCGATTAACCTTTTCACTTGCTTTCGAGAATCACACAGGCCGTTGTTTGTAAACACATCCCTTAATCTACATGTCTGCTTCCTGGGTTTTCTTTCTTGATCAGGTTATATTGTGCTGGAATTTGGAAGAAGGAAATGGAACGGGCTCTATATGTATCATGCAAGGCTTCAAGGATGCCCCAGTCAGGGCGCTAGAAGGTCACTACCCTTCGTCAACAAAGTCCTGGAGGAAAGGTTGGGTATAAATTTAACAAATAAATAATGACAATCAGAATAAAGCAGAGACAGGAACTCCATGGCTCAGATACATTTAGTGCTATTTGTGAACAAACTCTGTGAGGATACTATTCACACGGAGGGGAACTCTATCTTTATTTCTGTGTTATTTATTTATTATGTTTACATCCAATCTTTTCTCCAGGAGTTCAAGTTCAAGATTACAAAGTGATCTCCTTTGGTTTTGCCCTACATCAACAACCCTGTGAAGGAGGTGGGACTGAGAAAATGTGCCTGGGCCAAAGTCACCTACTGAGCTTCCATGGCTGAGGGTGGACCTGAATCTTGGTCATCACATATTTACTGCTACACCATTCTAGTTTCTTTCTAACAGTGTTGCAAACCTTAACTATCTCTGCTTCTGAGGGGCTACAAGGTGATTGTCCATGGCCTAAGTAGCCCATCCTGATGCTCTCCAAATGTTTTGGACAGCAATTCCCATCAACTCAAACCACTTGCTCCATTGGTTGAATCTGATGGAACCAATACTCAAAACCATCTCCAAAAAGTTTAAAGGCATTTAAAGGGGAATGTGTTGTGAAAATGTAGATGCTACCACAGACCTCGAGGTGACGTATTTGCAGTCAATTCCAGGCTACACAAAGGGTAAAGCTGAATCTAATTCACAACACAGCTCCCATCTCCTCGTTCCATCAAATGCTCTGCAGAAATGGTCAAGTTTACAAAAAGGGGTAACCAGAAGAATGACTGATGTAAACATCACAGCTCATCTTCAGTGGAAAACGAAAAAGATCATGTCTGGAAAGGAGCAGGATGCCAAGGCATTCACCATTAAACCAGAATTGCATTCACAAGTTCATTGTTAATCAATCTGGAATTAATCCACATGTTCTAAACTCCCTAATACAAAATAGAGACTCTCCTCCCTGCAGAAACATGCATGTTTGCAGTTCTAAAACAATGGTTCCAAACATACTGAAGGGTAGCATTTTGCATCATCTCTTCTACCACATGAACTTGGGAAAATACTGCAAGCAAACTTGCTAAAATCCTTATATGGACCCCTGGAGAGCAGGGAAGCTGTCATTACCCTCTAGACAAAAGAAAAGAGTCTCTCTCCCTGCTTTGTGATGGGATAAAGTGAGACAGAAGGGCCTAGGCAAGAAGAAGAGAGTAGCTGTTCAGGGGTCAAGGAGGCAGGGAAGAACGGGGCAGGGAAGGAGGAGGAGGAGGTCGAGAAATGATCGGTTGGGCTCCTTACTGTGACTCATTCTTCTCCAGATGGCCTGGACAAGCCCATCTGTGTCTCCTCAGGGTCACCCAGGCCAGTTCCTTTGCTTTAGCGGGGTAACTGTTGCTGACAAGGAGGCCAAAGGGCAAAGGCAGAGGGGGGCTCCTGCCAAAGGGGAAAAGCCCCATTGTCCCATTTAGCCCAAGGCCAGCAGCACCAGATGTGCGGGAGAGAAAGAGGTGTGAAAAGGACAGGTATGAATGATCATCTCCCATTGCTTCCGTAGCATCTTTAACAAAAACTGTGCTCGACACCAGAACATGGGTCAGACTAGCTAGTCTTTCTAGCAAAGCAATCGTCATCCAGTGACACCCCCTGCCCCAGATAATCCATAAATTTATTCAGCAGGTCCAATATTTTCCTTTTCTTGATTTCCTGATTATAGCAGCATATAAACATTTATGTCTGATTTGAGTGGCAATACAACCCTATATGTGTTTACTCTGGTTAGCTTCCTTCAAGGCCAGCTGATTTCATGAACACACCCATGATGTTTTGTTGGCAGCAGTACGGAAGTGGTTTGCCACTGCCGCCTCCTGGGATATTTTTCTACATCCCAGTCTAGCCTACAGTTTTGGTATTCCATTAGAAGTCTCCCATCCACGTACTAACCAGGTGTAATATTGCTTAGCTTCTGAACCCAGCCAAATCAGCAAGGCATTGCTACCTGATGGAGTCTACCTGACTTCCTGGCACAGGTTAAGAGACTGCAGCCTTACATTTTAAAGAGCTTTTTTTTTTTTTTAATGGAGGTTGGAACTTCTAGTTCTTGCCCTAAGGCTATCTGTGACATGATGTATCTTTGACATGATGTACACTTAAAAAAAAAAGTTAAAATATTATTATTATTTTAGATTTCTTATCCCACCTTTATTATTTTTATAAATAACTCAAGGCAGTGAACATACTCCTTCCTTCTCCTATTACAGTATTAATATATCTAGAGCAGTGTTTCTCAACCTTGGGAACTTAAGATGCGTGGACATGCTGGCTGGGGAATTCTGGGAGTTGAAGTCCATGCATCTTAAAGTTCCCAAGGTTGAGAAATACTGCTCTAGAGATTAAAAACGAAGTCAGACTTTCCCCCCAAATACCCCCCAGGAAAAACCAGTTTGACATGTAATTCTCTGTTTACTTGCCAGGGAGTAAGCACCATTGAATCCATCAGAACGTCCTTCTGAAATAATTTACCTAGATTTACATTGTTCACCCTCTTTTTGAAAATCATGAGCAATCAGCATGGCAAGCCTTCCTATGCAGCCCCGATTAAAAAGGCATTTTTTCAGCCATTTTTTCTCCTGAAGGGAGGAGATCCTTATAAACACACCTAATAGCATTTTGGGGAATTCTGTATTAGAATATAAGGTAAAATCTTCAATTCACACTTGCTCCTGGTGACCACATGGAGATGCAGTTTTCTTGACTATCATTTGGAAGTGCTGCTGCCATTGCCTTTTTCCAAGATGATTTTCAACTTCCCAGCCTAGCATACAGCTACTGAATTCCTTGGTGGTCTCCTATCCACGCCATAGCCAGTCTCAAACCTGCTTAGCTTTTGAGCCCAGACATCATGATCAGCCAGGTGCTGCCACCTGCTGAGACATATTTCAATGTACCAAATGCATTATTACATTTGTATACAATGTGTCTCACTCATTCACTGTCTCTCACACACACATAAAATAGAGCATCATGAGATTTGGCAATATGGGAAGCTACATTATACTAGCTAGCTTCACATCTTGCACTAAACTAAAATGTGGTTTAGTTTTGGCTTAGATATGCGCTTGAATGATTTACAGCCTGAAGTTAGGTGTGAAATAGCCTACTATTATGTCTTGTTCAACAAACCATGGTAAAAATAAACTATGCAATGTGTGAATCTAGTCACTGAAACAAATAACTGATTCATTTAGATCATTGTTGTCTATTCAGGGTAGGAACAGAGGGCAGGCCAAATCTACCGGTAGATCTCTGATTTGCAGAAGATCAGGAAGACACACCCAGTTGCATAGCGATAGTAGCAGATAACCTCCCCCCCATCAAAGAAAGTTCATATTAATTGAGAGTGTATTTTTTGTGTGGAAAAAGTATGAGATTTTGTATTTGAAATAAATATCTGGGTTCATATTTTCATTCTGCATATATGTTTTGCAGCAAACTAGATTCGGCAGATACTGGGATTCTAGTTATACACCAACCAGAAATAATTTTACGCAGAGTCAATCAGATTTCTCCAGAATTTCAGAGATGCTTCCTTCTGACTTCAATCAGGAGATGCTAGTGACTGAAATTAGGGTCTTCTGCAGGCGTGCAAGGTGTGCGCGCAAGTGGACTTGCCACAGAGTGTGTATCAGGTGATTGACTACAGAGGAAAACCGCACAGGCATAACAAAGGCTTGGACATTTAAACCCTGTTCAAAAAGATGCGCTGAATTTTACTAGCTAGGAAAAAATCTTTCTCACTGTATCATGAGCATTTTCTTTTCTAATGGAAATGGATTTTAAAAAGGAAAAAAAACTAGTTGTAGTTAGCTCACGAGAGGCAATCTAGGTGTGTAAAGAATATTCCTGTTTTGCTCATGCTGCACTGCAAGGCCGCACCCCAGGAGCATGACCTGCTTGTGGGATGCTCCAAGGCACGTGGCTAGTTTTTGTGGCAAAGAGAATGCAGGACCAGACACGTCTTTTGGTCTGAACCACCAAGGCGCTCCTTAGGTGACATTCTTTGGAGGCCCTGTTCCAGCATTTCCCAAATTCCTTTCCTGTCCCAGAGAACACCATCAGCATCCGAGGTTATAGCTCTGCCTTGCCTGTATTTTCCATGGAAGGGTAGAAGCAGATTTTGGAGATCCAGGAGCAGAAGAAGCCAGTTCTGCCATAGGCTGAAATACAGGCCTTTGGGGATATAAGGATTCTGGCTTAGAAAACCAAGGCTCGGCCCATCTACTGCCGTTCCTTTGCGTTCTCTCTCTCTGTCCTGCCTTAGTCCTAGCCATGATCTAACACAGTGACAGGTAGCTTCCTACAGCTATTACTATGGTTTGTAAGCTGGTATTCTACTACAGACTTTTATTTCAGATACAACAGGAAACTGCAGTTTAGCCTCCCTAGATTCAGCATCCTAGGCCACAAGTCAGAGATTGCCATTTTCTTTTCAAAGGCACACGTAGCGGTCGCTCCAGGCCCCGTTCCTGAAACTTCCTCTCTGTCAGCTGGTGCCGGGAAAAGCACCGATCTGAAACAACAACTGCCACGATCCAGACGGCGAGAAGACCCATGATCTCTGCAACACGCTCCTTTGCATGCTTATGTAACAGGGCCAGCACAGCAGCCATTTTTAAAAGCATTTCCTCTGCTCTTCCAGTACCAGGTTAATTCGACTCTGTTGAATGTACCGCAGTCAATACAAATCAGAATGGCATTTCCCCGGGGACCCAGAGCTTAATACGAATCTTAAGTTTGCATTTCAGTTCTGACCAAATGCTAACTCTGCACGCTTCAGAGTGGAATGTCAACAGAGAAGAAAAGAAGACGGGTGAACTAGCTGATCCTGCAACAGCCCTCAAGTTGGCATATGCAGCTTGCCCATAAGCAAAGCCTTTGTTTCCTGTTCATTTTAGAATTTACTCTCAACTTTTAAAAAAGCCAACAACTTGGGGGAGACACCCGATCTGCAGTTTAAGAACCGCTGGGCGGGCCTGTCAACGTAGTTTGCTGGTCTGCTTTTATTCTCCTTTACTCCAAATATAGTACAGTAATGTGTCGGTTACCCAGTACCCGAGGAGCAGAAGTATCGACTCCCCCTCTCCCGAGAGCGCTGTACGTTCCTTGCAGTAATTTAAATTTTATTTTCCTCCTCTCGGAGGGCGTTGCAGCCTCCACAACATAAACTTCGCGGTCCCCGGCTCCGTCCTCCCCCCGCCAGCGGTGCCTGTTGGGAGAAGCCGAGCCGTCCTGCCAGGCGGCCAGCCCCAAAAGGGGCGTGGCCACCGCTGCCCTTCTCTTTCCTCCGGCGCCTGGAATGTTTGTTAGGTAAACACCGCATAGTAGAGTTTTTAGCCACGCCTCCCTCTCTCTCTCTCTGGGCCAATCGGAACGCTGGAGCGGTTTCAAGGCTACTCCCTGTGTAGAGCCCCTGGGCTGGTGGTAACAAAATAACAAAAGCGTCGAACGCGGCGAGAGTAACGGGGCGCCCCCGCCTCGCCTTCGCTCCCCGTTTGGCCCTATGCACGCCGGAGAGCCCGTCTTGCCCGATTTCTCGGAACCTCCGGGCGGCAGCGGGGCGCGGGAAGGATCCGTGGCGGGGTGTTTTTCCGGGGGGGGAGGACCGGAAAACCCCTGCGCCCCATTTCCTCGCGCGCGCGCGTGTGCGAGAGACGGCGTGGGGCTGCCCCCCAC